CCCGGAGCTGCCATGCCTGTGCTGTGAGGTGGCTGAGCAGCACAGTTGGCACGTGGCAGAGCTGGGAAGGGTGGTCTCCTGCGGGCTCCTGCCACGTGTGGCCAGTAGCGTCCGCGCTCTTTAAGACCTCGGGTTACCCGGGAGCTGCCATGCCTGTGCTGTGAGGTGGCTGGGCAGCACAGTTGGCACATGGCAGAGCTGGGAAGGGTGGTCTCCTGCGGGCTCCTGCCACGTGTGGCCAGTAGCGTCCGCGCTCTTTAAGACCTCGGGTTACCCGGAAGTCCTCGGCTTCTACGGGGTCTCCTGCCGTCCAAACCGCTTTTTTCCATTTCTTCTGCTTTTCCAGAAAAGCTGTCTACACTGGCCCTTTTCCGGAAAAGCTTTTCCGGAATACGGACTTATGCCCGAGCGGGAGCAGAATGGTGTTTCCGGAATAGCGGCTGATTTTGTACAATAGAGCATCATTGCTATTCCGGAAATTCAAGGGCCAGTGTAGACAGCTCGCAGCTTATTCCGGAAAAGCAGCTGATTTTCCGGAATAAGTGGCCCAGTGTAGACACACCCTGACAGTCACCCAATTCTCAGCTTCAATCCGTGGTGCCACAGCGGTCTGGAGAACTCATTGCAGGGAAAGTCCTGCTCAGCCTCTTCAGTCCCAGAAAGATGCATGCTCGGGTACTCTGTAGGGATGAACATGTGCAAGATTGAGCACACAGAAGGGCTGCAAAAGATGGAACATACTCAGCCAACTCCTAATAAGTCTCTCCTGGGTAGGTGTGAAGGCTTTTCAAAGACTCATAACTTGGCATATTTGGGTAGCTTTTCTAAGGGAGGAGCACAAGACACATCCCGAAAACCCGGGCAACCCCTGTACCAAATTTTAAAATTCTTGCTCTAGAGCACGTAAAATAAAAATCTTACAGCCAAGTCACAATTTTGGGGAAAAACAACATATTTTCCCTGTCTTGCTCAGAGAAACAGCTTAACTATTTTTGCTAAAGCAGACACCCCACTTAGAAAATTGTGGCTGAAACAATTAAAATTTGGAAAAAGCAATAAACAGCTGAAGACAAGGTCTTATAATGGAAAGAATCAGGGAGCCTAAACTATAGGCATTGCTACTTGCGTATTCTAGAATATAAGCACATTCACACACAAAAACTTCCTCAGATCAAATTCTGCTCTCAGTTATGCATTGCACAGGATGTTAGCCAAGAAAGATTTTTGCCCACTCATTTTGGGGTACCTTATTCTGTTAAATAACCTATTTCTGTTACTCCCAGCTAGACCTTCACTGCTCAGTGACTTATAATTGCCTTTTTTAATTAAAAGCTTAGACCTCACTTTATACTCATTAATCATATTATTAGATTAAAGCTGTTGATAGAAGGGGCATACTTCAGCTTTCACGATTCTCACTGAAGGCCTTGTGTAAGTTCCATGCATTTAGCGGAGGATGGATTAGACCTACAGTTTCTCTTAGTATTTGTACTCCAATTCTGCTTACTTTTGGTCTTTGCTTTTGTTTTCTTGTAATAGAAAATTGCCTCTTCCACCTTGTCTCATTAATATCCTGAGACCAGCATGAATTCACCACCACTGCAAACACCAATATGACAACAGTGGATGCAGCAATTTAGATTGATAAGAGAAAACAATTATTTCTGCTGGGGGACCTGAGTACCAGTGGTTTGTGCAACAGTCCCGCCACTTGAATTTTCAAGGAGCCAAATAATATTCCAGTAGAGACTAGATCAGCTAAAGTACATGGGTTAAATTCATCTCTGTGCAAAGCCAGCATAACGTCTATGCACCACTTTTGAGTCTACTCAAGCTCTATTTTGAAGGTTTAAGTGTGATTTAAGCCTTATCCTGGCTCTGAAAAGGGAAGAAATTAATGGGGATTTGTAGTCCACCCCATTCATCTCCCAAATCTGCATAAAAACATTTTGAGAATTTAGATGCACACTGCTTTATTTATCTCAGATAAACATGCCTCCCTTAGAGGTTGATCCTATTTCCACCGAAGCCAATGTCAAAATCCTGTATGATTTAAATGGTAGAAGGCCCAGGCCCAAAAGTTAGTCTGGCTATTGTGAAAACCACAAGCCAGAACCTCAGCTGGTGTAAATCAAGGTAGCTCTTGTTACCTCAGTGGAACTGGGCTGATCAGTTGGTGTAAATCAAGGTAGCTCTTGTTACCTCAGTGGAACTGGGCTGATTTACACCAGATGAGGATCTACCTTTATTTATCCACCTCCCACCCCCACCCCTGCTTTGCTCAATGTCTCATTGGCAACAACCCAACAGCAAAGCTTTTTGTGCATTTGTTTCATTTTGTATAAGGTCAGCTAAGGTTTTATGTAAAACAGATGGCCAAACTTAAAAATGATTTTCAACATTGCATTGAGAACAAGTTAAAATGCAAAGTTAAAGTGGGGAAAAATGTTTTTGTTCTTTCAAAGGTTGTTTCAGTGACCTTTATTTTACCTGGTGCCTCAATTTTGCAAAGGAAAAAAAATCTCTGTGTTACAAACTGCTTGCTTTGCTATTCATAAAAGTCTTAAAATGGATAAGCAAAAACTCAAATTCAAAATGGCTTACTGGATGCTTTTAATTGGGATGTAGTAGCAAATAGAAAAGGAGTATGTTTTATAATCTTTCTACATCTTTTTATTTAAAGGTTTATAATTTTCCATTAAGTAATGTAGTGAGGCTCTCGTATGAGCAGATACGGAGCTAAAATTTGATATATTATCAAATGTTATCAACCTAGAAAGGGGTTTTTTTGAGCGGGAGGAGGAGCCTATACATCATCTAGCCTTTTCTTATTTATATAAAAAAGAATCTGTGCTCACAACCTTTTTTATTCTCAGCCACACAAACATAATTTTATAAGGAATCTGTAGCCATCCTGAATGCTGGATGAATTTTTTGATTAATCGAGTTCTTTTTCTCTGATTGGAGCTGACATATCTTGTTGTTTTCAGTTATTTGCAGCTCTGATGAGTTACTCCTGCTACCTACTGAGGGATAATACGTGAACAAACAAGAAATACAATTTAAATCAACCACTTCTGACTGAAAACCAATAACTTGTGTTATTGTTCATTAGTATTATTTCACTTTTATATTGCAATAGCAAACAGAAGCCTCAGACAGGTCAGGGCCTAGTGAGCTGGGTGCTGTTTATTATTGTGATGAGGAGGAGTTGAGGTATGACCTATTCACCATTTCCCCTCTCCCCCATTACTTCATTATTCCTACTGCACACTGAAACTTCATGAAGTCCAGCAATGCTTCTCCCAAATTACCAGAGAAATTATTGCTGCACAAAACCCACAAGACATTCCAACTTGGGCAGGTCAGTGCTGATCATTTAGCAAAAAACACTTTCTATTTTTGCTGGCATCACGGGATGAGGTACCTAGACATTCTAAAGGTTCATCAGAGTATAGTGAGAAGCTATTAATCATAATTCTCTTATACATTATTACGGAGCCAAAATCTTAATACAGTGTTGGAGCTTTCATAGGGTCTTTGATCTATGGGCAATTACAACCCCTATTTACCTGGTGGAGCATAACAATGTCACTCAGGCTATGTCTATACTATGAGTTTTTGCTGGAAGAGGCAATGCAAATTAAGCGCTGATTAGTATTTTGTCACTCTTCATTTGCCTAATCACCTCCGATGCCTTTTGCGCAAGAGATTTTTGCGCAAAAACAGGCAATGTGGACATGTCCGTTTTGCACAAAATCCCCTTTTTGTGCAAGATCCTTATCCCTCTCTGGGATAGGGATAAGGATCTTGCACAAAATGGACGTGTCCACACTGCCTGTTTTTGTGCAAAAACCTCTTGTTCAAAAGGCATCGGAGGAGATTATGCAAATGAAGCGCGACAAAATGCTAATCAGTGCTTCATTTGCATTGCCTCTTCCAGCACAAACCTGTAGTGTAGACTTAGCCTCAAGACTACTTGATGCTCACTGACAGGGGGCATACTGGTACATGGAGTTACAGAGTTCTCCTGAATTCACCAAAAGGGATCATACAAAGTCTCTGCTGAAAGTATGCATTGCACTGGCCATCATAATCACTTCAATACATATGTGCAGATCATGAGTAAGGAGTTATGCATGCACACTGAAAAATATATCTTTAAAGTATATAAGTTGACATGATGATAACCAAATTCTAAGAAGAAGTGAGTAAATACTTACCTGGTCTCTGGCATACCACAATGTACTGTATGTCACTAAACCAACTTAATCAGCATATGTGGAAACAGACTCTGTCTGCTGCCAGGCCCAGGTACAGGTCCAAGGATCTACAAAGACAAAGGAACTCAAAGATTTAGGAAGGGGCCTCCTGTGGTAAAGGACCATATATTATAATTGCATCAAAGTGGAAACAGGACAATATTTCATTCTTTACCAGGGAAGTGAATGGACAGTGGTTTTCCTTGAGGAAAAGGGCTTGGCTAAAACTACTGGGAAGAACTTTGGGTGAAATCAACTTCTTTTGACAGGAGAATAGCTTTTTAGTAAGTTAGGCTCTAGAAAGCATGTTCTGATTTTCTTTTATATGAAGATACCAAAAGAACCAGAGAGTGAAGTGATAGTAACTATTTGTTTCCAATATGTTTACCATCACTTGTTTATGTTCTGTATACTAAACAGTACAATGATCCTGACTTGTAATAAATAAATTGGTGTGCAGTATTTATTTGAGAACAGCAAAGCAAAGTTCTGTGACAGTGTTCAGTGGATCAGGGGCTGGACACTCCAGAGAGCATCTGGAGGAGGGGTTGGTATTTTTCTATCATCAACATGTACAAAGACCTGAAAATCTGTGGGTATCTGCTTTATATCCGCAAGTATCCACAGATGTGGATGTGGATGCAGATATCTCCAGTTCATTTTTGTGTATACAGATGTGGATACAAATTTTGTATCTAAAACCCTGCAATTTTGTGGATATCCACTTTATATCCACAGGTATTTGTATCCTCAGATATTGTTGGGGATAGCTGCAAATCATTTTTGCAGATACAGATGCCAATTTTGTATCTGTGCAGGGTTCTAAACAGGTGCACGAAGAGTGATGCCTGTTTGTATTGCTAGAGACTGGTGGAGCAGACATCACATAACAATAAGACTTCTTCACTCTAAGGGTGTGTCTAGACTACTGAGTTTTGTCGACAAAAGTGGACTTTTGTCGACAAAACTATACCTGCATCTACACTACCGCTGAGTTCTGTCGAAATAACGTCGACAGAACTCAGCAGTTTTGTCGACGCTGGTAAACCTCATTTTACGAGGCATAACACCTTCTGTCGACAGAGTTCTATCGACAGAAGGTGTTATTGCCTGTAGGGTTGCGTCTAGACTACAGGGTTTTGTTGACAAAGCAGCTTGCTTTGTCGACAGAACTGAATATGTCTAGACGCTCTATGTCGACAGAAGTTTTGTTGACAGTATCTGTCGACAAAACTTCCGTCGACAAAACCCTGTAGTCTAGACGTACCCTAAGGGCAGGTGGCAGTGAGGTGCCTCATAACTCTGATTCCCTCTGGGAAGTGCTACAAACAGCTTCCATTCAGGCTAAATGGTCACAATTAAATGACTCTGTTTGGTGAAGCAATCAATGGAAGACACTGCCCAAATATTATATGATGAAAATGCAGAGGTTTAGATTTGTGATTTGCAGCTATGTGGGTCAGAAGTAAAAAGACAGCATGAAAGCAAACAGAAAACTAGAAGACAAGTGAAGCATTTGATAGAATGGCCCTAGATTACAGTTGGAAAACTGCTTATCTAGGTGTTAGTTATGGAAGACAGTGATGTTAATGACTCACTTGAGTCTGTCTAGCGAGTTATGGATGAAGCTAACCTTGGAATCACTTGACTTTTCCGTTTTCTGGCATTTCCAAATGATCAAACAAAATTTCATTTCAGGCCGATCACAAACAGATGTTTCAGTGAATCAAAAAAGTCAGGGAAAATTCATTTTCAGGTTGCATGAAACATTTCATTTCAGGACAGTTTTAACAAACACTAGGAAATGAAGGACTTGACTCACAACTCTCCTCCCGTCCACCTTACTTAATAGCCCAACTGCTACTTGGGATGAGGGACACCTGGTCTTGAGGAGAGACTTGATTCCAGGTCTCTCCACATCAGGTGAGTATTCTATTCTATTCTATTCTATTCTATTCTATTCTATTCTATTCTAGGGTGGGGAGCTCTCTCTTAAAGCTGTTCCACTCAGATAATTCAGCTAAGTCTACTCAGCCACTTCATTGCACTTCAATTTCCTGGCTCAAGAGGTTGAACAACACACACACTCAAACACAGCAAGTTACAGCATTGAAAGCACAGGTATAAACGGGGCTACAGCTCCCAGTGCAGTTAGTAACTCCCTTAGTGGAGCACCTACAGTGCTGGGAGAGTTCTCTGTCATGGCTCTCCTGCCATAGCTACTCTCCTGTGTTAAAACACTGCTGTGGCAGTCCATGAATCTTTCAAATGTAGACCAAACCTATTAGTGACTGGTTAAGCCCTGAGAAGTGAGGTTTTATATACTTCTGTTAACCCTGGCTAGCATAAGTCTGGCTATTCTCATCCATGTAAGCAACCAATCTCTTTTTGGCTTCTGCTTAGCTCTTTGTATTGCTGTCTTCTGGCAATGAGTTCTAGAGGTGAAAGATCTTTTCTTCAGTCAGTTTTATATTTATATTCAAAAGCGACGAGGAGTCCTGTGACACCTTATAGACTAACTGAAGTGTTTGCCCACGAAAGCTTATGCTCCAACACTTCAGTTAGTCTATAAAGTGCCACAGGACTCCTCGCCGCTTTTGCAGATTCAGACTAACACGGCTACCCCTCTGATACTTATATTCAGTTATTTCCATTGCATTGTGTGTTCTCTTTTTCTCATAACATGGGACAGGGTGAATAAGAGCACTCAGTCTACTCACTCCATAGTATTCCATCATTTTTTGCATCCCTCCCTCTCCCTCTTGCTATGGCCTCTTTAAACTTAAATAATTCTACTCATTATTTTCAATATATGCTCATATGAGAGTTTTCCCCAGGCCTCTAATTATTCTAAGCATTCATCTCTGAATCCTCTTTATCTCTCTTCTGCCCCTTTTTTTGGGGGGGGGGGGGATACGGTCTTCCAGGTGAAGGCAACAATTATTGAATAATTTCACTTATATTGTCCAATTCATTCATTTTAACATTGTCATATGTTCTTTACTTTAAAAAAAACTGCCACAGCAGCCCATCCCCTACTTCTGAAAGATACAGAATGGAGTAGAATCATTTCCCTCCCATCTCACATGGGTAGGGCCCAAAATCCCAAGGAGTTTGGGACTCATGCTGGCTGTTACTAAAACAGCAATAATCTCAGACACTTGAAGCATCTTATTTTGGAATAGCTGGGCGTGGTCAGGAATGGGGCTACAAACTCTATGGAGGTACATGTAGAGAGGGCAGGTGGACAGAGGAATGATGCAAGTGAACTAGTTAACAAAAATCCAATCAAACCATGAAGTACCAAGTTTTGTACCTCATTACAGTTTGCTTATATTATGTGCCAATAAGCTTTTTAATGAGATATCACTATTACTTTTAACTAGGTGAGGCAATAGTTCCTCAAATGGGTATTGTCTTGCCTTTATCAACACTGAATTTCATCTGCTGTTTTGTTGCCCATTTATCTAACTTCATTAAGCCCTTCAAATTCTTCAGAGACTTCTTCAGTCTTGACTAACATTAGAATTCTATTTTACAAATACTGGGGCTTTGATTCATTAGGGCTGTGTTGGAGCCCTTGAATATTCAAAAAATGCAAGAAGATTAGAAACTGATCTCTGATTATGTTGAAAATATGTTTTGGATGCCACGCATTTGATTGTGAATGTGAGCTTACTTCACCCATTAGTGAATGACTAGATTTGAAGCTCAAATACCAACCAAGGATATGTGGTGAATAATTCACATGTTGCCATTTATTCATTTGTGATATTTTTGAATGTTTCTGAATCACGAATATCTTTGCGAACATCAGGACTGTTATGTGAATGCTTCATCATGCCAAAAAAAAAAAAAAAATCAAACTTCATCATCAAGTTTGTGCTTGGTCAATGCTATATCAACAGCTCAAATCTTCACGCAGTTTTTAGTCTGAGACTAGACATGGATTAATTTAGCATGAAGGATCAGTGGTGTATATTCTCATTTGTTGTCTAGTATTAAAAAAATGAAACTTTGAGAGAAGTAAGGAATTTGAGACAAATTGATGACATTAGTAAGTGTTTAATTCATTGAACTTTGTATGGGAAGAGAAAACTATGAAAATAAAGGAAACGCAGTTGACCATGTAACTTGAAACTGACTTGCTTAGCATTACTTTAAAGAAAGAAACATAAGTTTAAGCTTGAGGGGCATTTTCTGAGCACAAGGGAAATTATGTGACAGTTATTTAAAACAGAATAAAATCATCAAGACAATTTTTAGTTTAGTTTACATTCAGCCTTTTCAGAAGACAAATAATCTTTAAACAGGCCAAAATGCTTGGGGTATTTCAGCATTAAAATTCTTTGATGTACGAAGACAAATTGAATCCAGGAAGAATCCACAAGAGCAGTAAGAAGTAATAAAGCTGCTGACTGCTTACAACTGTTAAATGTTTAGTCTGTGAGTTCAACAACGTTCCCAGTAACTAAAGCGAGAACGATTTTTATTGCAGATGGCTGGGGTGGCTTAACTTAGAACACTTTGAGGTACTCATGAAACTGAATGTTTGGATCCTTTGGTATATTATAGAAATAGAGATATCAACAACAAATAATTGGAATTGAAGTTCTGGCTCCTTATAAAGGGTTTAAGAAGAATAAAAACAAAACAAAACACTTACTAGAGTTCTAAACATACTGTAGTTCTGACAATCTCATCCTGATACCTTCATGAAAGGATTTCTTTAACCATAATTAAAGTTGCAGGCGGGCACTGTTAAAGGAACCAGTCAAAAATGTGTATTTCTGTTGTGGTCCTTCAAGGTCTCTGGGAATTCTATTTTAATATATTATCTTTTGTCTGTATTTGTTGGAGAGAGCCATTGGGTTCTGAAGTTGCAATTAAAGTAAGAACCTGAGGAAAGAATATTTGTGAATATGTGAATTATTTCCTTTATGAATTTAAAGCAACTTTAAAACATTCTGAAGCTAATGTAATTGCAAATTTTGACATGTTGCTGGCCAATTTGGAATCTCCTCATTTACACAAACCCGCAAAGAGTAAAAAAGCTCAGTATTACTTATGTTTTAAATTTACCAGTGCAAAGCAATTGCATCATTTCCCTAAGCAGATGAAAAACACTGATCTGTTATAACACTCAGGAAGCCTAGCAAGAGGGCAGACATGAAAATACAAAGTTTAATAATTTAAAATAAGTAAACTTCTCCATGTGTATTGCAGGTATAGTTATAAGCAGCATTTCCTATGAAGATATTCCACAATTTTGAGAATGGCTTTTTAAACAAATCACAAGATTTTTAAATAAGTGTTAAGTACTTTTGCTTTCTCTTCTAGTTTTGTAGATTTTAGGGTGCATTCTAGGCACATTTGCAAGCTTTTCTCTGCACCTCTGTGAACTATAAAGTTTCAAAAAAAACCCCAAAAACCCCAGCTGAGAGATTCTCACATAATCACATCACTGCAAGAAATGGGCTTGGAGAAAAACAAGTATGGCGAGACTCTTAATAAAAATCATGAGTGTAGGCAATATTGTAATATAGCATTATATTGTGTCATCAGCTTGCAAATAGAAATCCCCATTGATTTCAACAGGGAATCGTGTTTGAAAACAGATGGAATATCATCCACAGAACAGGTTTAACATAATGATTTTACCAGTTTAAAGCCAAGCAAAGTGCCTTTAGGAATACTTTGTATAGAACAGCTAGGCAGCTGTAAGAGCCCTTCTATCCAAAACGACATCAGGACAAGGAGAAGGGACATAGGATTATGCAGATCCTTCTCATATTATCATCAGTACGGTAACCATACGCTAACTATGGGACACCTGGTAAATTATTTGTATGCAAGCAAGTTCAATGTCAATCACTCAGAACTATGTAGTACAAACATTCAAAGTTCACTGAGTCCCTGTTTAAAAAAATACTACGTATGTGGAATCTTTTAATTTAACTTCTTATAGTTAAGATTTGCACGGGGAAAGGCAATACGCAAACATTCCTTTACACCTCTCTCACATGAGGTTGGGGATGACAGACTGACCTGACTCAACCCTCTCTACCCAGTGCACTTTACCCTACACGCCTGGCTGGGCTCCTGGGATGGATCTGCCTCTCCTGGTATCTGGTGCCACCTCTTCTCAAGGCAAAACGTGGGGTACATGGAAGGCTATAGCGAGGGCAGGAAGGGGTGAAGCCCTTAGGATGCACTGAGCACCAGGGCCCAGGGAACTGGACTTCAGGGGCTTCAGTGAACCTGGCCAAAGAGGTGGCTCAGCAGGGGAGGATGTCTGAGGGACAGAACAGCCCCCACTATCAGGGGTATGACCTAGGGTGAGGGCAGCAAGAGAAGAGCGTGCTAAGTGCTGGAAAACAGGTGAGAAATAGCTTCCTCCCTGTCACTCCGGAGCTTAAGTGAGAGATGGAGAAGCCTCCTCATGTTAGGGCTGTGTGGGGCTTTTGCACATTCAGGGCTTGGCTCCTCCTGACCAATGCCCCAGGCCAGAGAGTCCAGAGCTTTCCCTGGGTGTCCTCCCAGCCAGAGGCAGTGGGGGACGGAAGGATCCTGCCAGCCAGGCAGTTGGTGAGCTGAATGGTACACTGCGGGGCTGGTTTTCTACACAGCACCACTGGGGAGGGATATGTAGGATCAGCAGGGCTGGGTGAGGGTGGGGGTAAATGAGAATAGCAGTAAGAGGACAGTAAGGGGGGAAGCATATAAAGGGCCAATGGATGAGCAGCAGATGTGACAGGTAACCAGCCACCATCTGCCCATACTCACCAGCCACTGCAGCCAGTGCAGGCTGGATATGGATCAGGGCGAGGGTAGCTTTCTGGCCAAGAGGGGGCATACAGCCGGGATTGTGCTGACAAACCATCAGGGAG